TTTTAATATTAATTTCATAAAGTTTTGAATATCTCTGACTATTGTTTATGGATTTTTATGAAGTTTACACATTTTTCAGGTAAAAATGTGTGCTTTAAAATAAAAGTAATGTTAATAAAAAAATTTGTAAACAATTTTTTCATTATTTCCTCCTTTCTGAGAAAAATGTTATTAACATATTTGGAATCCTTATGAATTCACCTTTAATTTAATAAAACAAAATTGATGAAGACTCATCTGGTTCCGGAGATATTGAATTTTTTGTAAAAAAAAGACTAGCTGCAGCAGCAAGGTGAGCTTCGAATAAAAACTCAAAAGTTTTTGCCAATCCAATTTTTTTTGGTATCGTTTCAGTTAAGCCATACAATAATTTTAAGACAAAAAATCAAAAATCGGTATATGAAATTTTGAATAAATTCAGTTTTTCGATTTTTTTCATTTTGGATATTTAAAAAATCTTCATTTGTTAGTGAGTTGGGCAAATTCTACAAAAATTGAGTAGAAATATACAAAACTTCGATAAAATAGAAGAATTTAATTATAAAAATCTAGATTTCAAATGGTTCTGCAGATTTTTGGTATAACTTGATACGAATTGTATGTCAGATTTCCAAAATTCAAAATAGCTAATCGTATATGGCAGACGATTTGGTAAATCTGATATCGTATTCGCATTCAGTTGTACCGAAAATACGCAGAAGTATTTGGAATTTATATCCTGGTTTGTAGTAATATTCTTCTTCATTATCGAAGTTTGGTCTGTTTTTATTCAGTTTTCAAAGAATTTTCCAAACTCAGTAAACAGAATGAACTATTACTCAGGAAAATGAAAATATTTTAAATTTTCAAAATGTAGTTTAAAGAAAAAAAGTAGCGTTTTCAGATGAAATATTTAACTTTTGGCAAAACAATTATCTTTTGATGTTAAAAAAGTGATCTTTTGCACTTTTAAGTTAATATACCTCGAAAATCTGACGTGCAGGGTCTATTATGACGTTGAATTCAGAATGATCACGTTTAAAACCTTCGTAAAAGTATTGTTTGCTTCTTGTTTTAATAAATACTGTCGGCCTGTGGTACAAACGGTTTCTAAATTTTTAAAAAAATGATGATAAACGACAATTTCTTCATCAATTTTGGAAATTTTTAAGCCTCTACAGTAATTTTCTGTGCTTTTTACCATAGAAAATCTTCGTCAATGCTAAAAAAATTCGAATCCTCCGGTTGCTACTCTTAAATAAATTGTTTTTCCATAGAATTTCTTTAAAGTTTAAGAAAATATTTCTTCGGGTGCCCTTTAAATGTGGTAAAAATTTCAAAACCTTTTGCGATGCTAAATTTTGAGATATTCAAGTTCAAACTTTAACTTTTACATGCGATCATGTTAAAAATAAAAAATATCAAACACAATATCTCGTTTTTTGACATGGCAAAGAGTTTTGAAATATTTACCACATTTAAATATTTACAAAGAAACATTTTCTCAAAATTTGAAGAAAATCTATTGAAAATAAATTTTTTCAAGTGTTTCAAATTATTTTTTTTTATTTAAAATTACAAATTTTTACCTAAGGGGCCATCCACATATTACGTCACACTATTTCTGGTAATTTTTTACCCCCCCCCCTCCCCCATGTCACTCTATTACATACATTAGCGCCATTTTCTCTGCAGGATGTCACAAATTGTTTGACCCCCCTCCCCCTTAAAGTGTGACGTAATATGTGAATGGCCCCTAAAATATGTGTAAATTTCATAAAAATCAACAAACAATATTCCGGAGAGATATTCAAAATTCAATAAAATTAATATTAAGTTTCATATATGGGGCAAAATTTCTCAACTGCCCAGGTCAAAAAATGAATTCTCTGTTTCAAAATTTTGACTTTTTTGAAAATATATTTTTTTCGATTTAATATATTGATAAGTAAAATTAATCAAATTACAAGTGTGTATAGTGATTTTTAAAGGTTTTTACACGAGCTACAAGCTCATGATGAAAAGAAAGTTGTTTTCTTTCAACTTGAACTTGAAATTCAAGGTCAAATTCTTAATTTCAATATATCTCAAAATCAATTTTTAAAATTTTTTTCTAACCTATCCCAATGGAAACCTTACCTTTTTTCCTATGCGGCATGTAAAAGCCAGAGTGGGACCTTACAAATTTTTCAAGAAAATAATAATTTGTCACTATTTTATAAGGAAAATGATGATAAATTATTATTTTCTTGAAAAATTTCCAAGGTCCCACTCTGGTTTTTACATGACGCATAGGAAGAAAGGTAAGCTTTCCATTGGGATAGGTTAGAAAAAAATTTTAAAAATTGATTTTGAGACATATTGAAATTAAGAATTTGACCTTGAATTTCAAGTTCAAGTTGAAAGAAAACAACTTTCTTTTCATCATGAGCTTGTAGCTCGTGTAAAAACCTTTCAAAATCACTATACACCAGGGATGACAACCGAAACCGTTAACCGAAAAAACAGAAATTTTTAAAAAACCGATAACTAGAAACCGAAACCGAAAAAAAAATTATCTGAAACAGAAAACCGTAAACCGAAACCCGTATTATAAAAATTTAAAACCCTTTATTTCAAAACCTAAATTTCGTTTTTTCGGTTTTTAATATAAAAGTAAAACTGAATAGAACTAAAAATTGGACAAGTGTGGTGTTGATTTCGCACTGAAATTACGGGTTCCGTACACCAATATTAAAATTTTTTGGTACAAAAAAATAAATGAAAAAGAAATATTAAAGTACATATAGTATGTTTAATATTGTAAATAATAAGTAGACGAACCAAATTTGCGGATTACAAATAATTAATAAAAAAAAAATTTTTTTGAGAATAAATAAGAAAAAAATTTTCAAATGAATTATTTTTGATCAGCCTATAAAAATACACTAGTGTACCAATTTTTAGCTAATTAGGTCAAAAAATGTAGAAGTTACGGAGAAAAACGTTCTTTCAAAAATTTTTTAGTTTTTCTTTGACATCGCTATGGCTATCTTATAAAATATAAAACAAATTTATGAATAAATTATGAGTAATTAATACTCATATTTCATTCTAAGTAATTAAAATGCACACAAATATTTTAATTCATATATTGTCCGGGGAAAACAACCGAAAAACCTAAACCTTTAACCCAAAAAAACCTACATTTTTAAGAAACCGAAAACAAGAAACTAATTATTCACTTTAAAAACCGAAACCCAAATACAGAAACCCTAATTCTTTGAAAAAAAAACCGTAACCGAAATACCGAAACCGAATTTTTTTTAGAAGAATACCGAAAAGAGGAAACCGATAAAATTTCGGTTGCCATCCCTGCTATACACACTTGTAATTTGATTAATTTTACTTATCAATATATTAAATCGAAAAAAATATATTTTCAAGAAAGTAAAAATTTTGAAATTATGTAACTCAAAAAATATTTTAATAAATATCTAAATATCAACACTTCTACTAATAATAGTAACATTTTGGAAAAGTTTCCAGAGAATTCATTTTTTGACCTGGGTAGTTGAGGTAATAATATTTTTTGTATAGCTATACTGAAAAGAACCATTTTCTTTAATGAAATATTGAAAATTACTGCAAAAATTCAACAAAATTTCTTTTTTTACATTCAATCAGTTTTTGGGTCCATTAATTATTCACACATTCACTTTATTATTTTTGTATTTGTTTTTTTTTTAGAAGAAAAGGAAACCAATGAATTACAAGAATTTGATCCATGGAAGGTAAAAATAACATAAATAAAATAAATATATGTCATATTTTTTGTTTATTTAAAAACAGCAACGTTTCGATGACGTGGGTTTGTCATCCTCTTCAGGCTAATTAAAACAATATCCCAATTAAAAAATAATTTATTTTATTTATGTTATTTTTACCTTCCATGGATCAAATTCTTGTAATTCATTAAAAACTATCGGAAGGAAATTTACACTATTGAAATAGAAAAGGAAAGGCTACTGTGCAGCTGGCTAACTTAGAAATTTTCTGATATTCTTAATTCCGGTTTAAAAGTGAAGTTATAAGGGGTATGTTACCATTAAGGTACTTGCGTTTGCGAAGGCAAGAAATGGGCCCCACATAAATGTTTTTTTTCACAGTCATTTTATTTAAAATATTAAAAACGATTTTTGTACCTTAAAGTACATTATAAAAACTAAAAAAAGAAAAAATTGTTTCGTTTTTTAACCGTTATTTACGATTCGTAGAGTGCCCCAAAAATTGTCGATCTCAAATTTGTAAGAGTTTGCGGTGCCCCGCATAAAGCCTCTCCTGACTGTCTAAAATCAAAAAAACAAAATTTATTCTTTAGTATACATTAATACCTAGTGGACTAACGTGATGAAATTAAAAAACAGTAAAAAAAACGAAAATGCGGTACTTTTAAAGTCAAAAATTCAAAAGATCAAAATCATCATTTCTTAAAAATTGACTTTAAAAGTACCGCATTTTCGTTTTTTTTTACTTTTTTTTAATTTCATCACGTTAGTCCACTAGGTATTAATGTATACTAAAGAATAAATTTTGTTTTTTTGATTTTAGACAGTCAGGAGAGGCTCTATGCGGGGCACCGCAAACTCTTACAAATTTGAGATCGCAATGTTTGGGGCCCTCTACAATTCGTAAATAACGGTTAAAAATCGAAAAAAAATTTCTTTTTTTTGTTTTTATAATGTACTTTAAGGTGCAAAAATCGTTTTTAATATTTTAAATAAAATGACTGTGAAAAAAATATTAAAGTGGGACCTATTTTTTGCCTTCGCAAACGCAAGTACGCCTTAACATAATTAATAACGCCTTAATAATATCATAATAATAATATATATAATTAATATATATTAATAATAATAATAATATATAATAATATATTAATAATATATATATTACGCCTTAATATAATCATATTAATAAAGAGACTTTATAGAGTTATTCTACTTATACTAATAATAATCTGAAATTTCTTATAGTGCAAGATGGAGGTTGTGGAAAATATTTTCAAAGAATATTTCAAAGAAATAGAGTATTCTGATGACAAGGTGATCCTAATTTTCTTTATTACCTAATTATTTTATTTCCTTATTTTTCCAACTTTGGGAAGCCGAGAAAATTTCCACACGTGAACTAACATGCTTTACAATGTTTCCCCTATTCCTTGCCTATTTCAAAATATTAGTTTTTCCCTCTTTTATAAATATTCCCCCTTTTTCTTTATTTCTAACTACTTTTCCCCATTTTGTGCTGTATAGGGTCTTGTAATTTTTTTTAAAGGTATGGTGATTTTACTTTACAAAATCCTTGGCCATAACACTTTTTAATATAACAAAAATACATAATCGAAAGTGAAAAATAAAATATCTTGTAATTTTACTTTTTTAAATACTCATATTTTCAATTCAATTCCAATAATTTATCAATTTATAAAATGATTAATAATGATAATAATAATAAAATAAATAGATAATAATAATAATAATAATAATAATAATAATAATAATAATAATAATAGATAATAGATAATAGATTAATAATGATTAATAATATATTAATAATTTTATTAAAAATACTACTAAATAAGATTAAATTAAAGTGGACATAATTTTGACAAAATCCAAAAAAATAGAAGTTTCTAGTTTTAATAGTTAATCAATTTTATGTACTTATTATATTTATTTTTCATAACGCGGTGGAAAAAAGGGCACTTTTTTGCACCTTGTTATGAAAAATATCGTTCGGAACTAGTGCTAGCAGTTGCCAATTATTGAATGAGCACTTTTTTTGGAACAAATTGTAGGCGAAGCTTCGCTTCGCCTACAGTTCGTTCCAAAAAAAGTGCTCATTCAAAAATTGACAACTGCTCGCACTCGTTACGAAATATACTATTTTGTACTTTAACGTTTGTATCAATTTTTATGATTGGGGACGATTTTATTATGTCATTTGAAAATAAAGAATAGAAATTAAACTTATTTAAAATTTTTTAACAGTCTCTATTTATATGGTTCTATCAATTGCACACAGAAGAAAATTATAATGTTTTTAAATCAAGATCAATCGATTTTTTCTAGAAGGGCCTTGTTTTATTAAATAATAAATTTTAATACTTATTTGTAGCTTTTGTAAGAATACATATTTAAATTCTGTTAATTTATCCTAATAAAGTTAAAGTTTCTTTTAAAAAATTAAAGTTAATTTCTTTATTTATTTCCATGTAGATGTATTATGTAAAAGGGAAGAAAAAGGGTTCCTTCAAATGTGTTTTCAAAAGGAGATTGTACTACATATCTCCTGATAGTACAGACATTTTCTATTGTGCGTATAGGCAAGATCCATGTCACGCAAAAGTTATAAAGGATGGTGAATCTTTCAAAGAAGAAGGGAAACACGTTTGTAAAAATGAAGAGAAGCGGAATATAGACCATGTTGGACTAGAAATTGCAGAAAATTGTATAAGGAAAATGTGCAAGGATACTACTTTGACCTACAGAAAAATAATAGAAATTGTTCAGGAACGGTAATTAAGTAATTTAATCCTTATTAATAAAATCAGACGTCTGTCTGTACATTACTTAAAACTTAAAAATTTTAGCATACATAACTATTATTGACTTCAAGGATTTCAGAAATATTCGTAAAAATTTTAATGTATTGTATATATGCTGTCACAAAAGCTTTGTACCCCAATCCAGGGCTCGGATTGTGCCACTATTTCGACTTTTTTGTGAAAAAATGCGACTAATCGACTTTTTTGAGATTTTTTTTAGTAAAATGTGAAATTTTTTTTAATTTAAAGCAAAAAGTTTGAGTCCACAAAAAATGTTCTGTTACATTTATTTACAAATTTCTTTCAAAATTTTCGAAAACATCAATTACTTTTTTTTTAAATAAATATTTAATTATTATTTTTCTATAGGAATTAAAATTCTTCAAAACATTCAAATTCAAAATTTCAAACCTTTTTGAAATTAAACAACGTATAAAAAATTGTTATAAAAAATGAAGAAATCGATCACTCTGAGTCTTTGACTCGGAGCAATCGGAGTCTTCATGTTTTATAATAATTAAAGATGACCGAGTGATAAAATCATTAATTTAAATTCTAAGACTTTATAAAAAAAAATTTTTGTTATTTTTTATGCAAATACAGTCAGGTCTCGCTAAGTGTCGTCACTGGGAATTTTTTGGGACCGTCTGTCTCAGTAAGTGTCAGTGACCTAAGCCACGCCCCTTTAACAAAAGTGCGGTTATTTCATTGGTTTATGTTTCAAACCGGTTTGGGGAAGTCCATTTTTAGCATTGGAGAGGGTAAAAAAAAGTGGGGAAAGTGACACTTGTCGGGTCTTGAACGATGACACTTTGTGAGTCATGACACTTACTGAAAACGACACTTGGCGAGACCTGACTGTAATTGAAATTTTGAAGAGAATTTAAAAAATTTTTTGAAAATAATTGAATTTCTGTGAAGAATTTTGTTACTTTTGCAGATAATTAAATTTTGCAAAAAATTTTATCCAAACTTTTGAAAATAATTAAATTTCCAGGATGAATTTTATTATTTATGAAGATAATAAAAATTTTAACGAGAAATTTGAAAATAATTGAATTTCTGAAAATAATTTTCTTATTTTTGAAGATCATTGAATTATGCAAAGAATTTTATCAAAACTTTTGAAAACAATTACATTTTTATGATGAATTTTATTATTTATAAAATTTTGAATAAAAATTTTAAAAAGTTTTGAATAGAATTGAATTTCTGCGAAGAATTTTATTACTTTTGAAAATAATCGAATTTCAGAGAAGCATTTTATTATTTATAATGATAATTAAAATTTTGACAAGAATTTTATTAAAATTTTTGTTAAATAATCGAATTTCGGAGAAGAATTTTATTATTTATAAAAATAATTGACATTTTAAAGAGAATTTTTAAAAAAATGTTACAAATACTTAATTAAAATTTTATTATGAATTTTACTAAATTTTTTAAAACTTTTATTCCTGATTGTTTGATATTAATGTATTTGTTTGTTGATAAATGTGATTTTTTTTACAATTTTGACAATTTCGTGTATCCTTTTTGTCGTTTTTTCTAAAATTTCATGCGACTTTTTTCTGACTTTTTTGGAAATTTTATCCGACTTTTCTTGACTTTTGTTGTAAATTTATGCGAACAAAGCGACTTTTTTTGAGTCTTAAAGTCGATCCAAGCCCTGCCAATCACACAAAAGTGCGTTTACCGATTGAACTACATATGGCACATGGTTAGATATTGACCCAAGAAGGTTTATCAATTTACAGATTTAAAAAATATTAATAATAACGGGAGATATTCAATTTTTTCAAAAAATCGAAAATTTCCAAATCTTACATTTTATCATGGATTGCTTTCAAACTTTATATACTAGAGTATTACATGTTATTTAGGTATATTTTAGCTTCAAGGCTTCAATTGATACCAATTACTATGAAGCTTAATTCAGTAGTATTTTTGGGGTCTTTGATTAAGATTTTGACGTCAAAATAATACAATTCAGAATTATTTATTTATTTAATTAATCCAATATTATTAAATTGCAAGAATTTCAGAAATATTAAAAATCAGTCAGAGAAGCAGGCGCAATGCGCCTACATGATAGGGTTTCGTGGCCTAAAATGACAAAAAAATAAATGAATAATAATTTATTTAGAAATTTGTTTGTACTTAAGATTGAAATTTTTTTTTATTATCATAGTAACGGTTGCAACGGTAACGGTTGTTATGTCAACCATTAACATAGCAACGGTTACCATGGCAACGGTTGTTATGTTGTCTTAAGACTTAAGACTTAGGACTTAGGACTTATACTGAAGTTAAGTCTTAAGTCTTAGGACTTAAGACTTTCTTATACCAAAGTCTCTCTATAAGACTTAAGACTTATTACATAAGACTTAAGACGTAAAAACTACGGACGGACACCGAAGTCTCGCTATAAGGGTTTTGGCCCTTGGCCACGAAACCCTAAAAATGGAGATTTTTGTGATTAAAATGGTATTGCAGGATGTCAAGAATTGTAAGTCACCTGTGATTCAATACAAGCATTATGCTACTGAGTAAAAGCTTAGACGCTAAAAAGTTTTGTTATTTTAATTCTAGATTACACTTTTAGAGATGTTTTGAACAATGTAAAGACAAAAGTTATAAAACAGGGTGTCTACCAACCTGGGAATATCCATGAATTTAATGTGACCGAAAAAAACTGAGAACAAGCCGGGAATATGCTAAACCGCGAATTTTCTTATCAAATAAAAAAGTTTTATTATATTAATTCGCATTTAAAAAATTGTTGCTTACTTTAATTTTTATTGATGTAATATTTATGTAAACAAACTCGAGTCAAAATTTAAGGAGATCTCAATTTAAGCTCTACTTTCAGTCTACAATATAGGTCTTATTTTAGATTTTAGCAGTCGCAACGTACAGTATACATGCGATACAATTGGTTCGAATTAGACTACTATAACTTCAAAAACTGGTGGAAATTTTGGATTGATTTTTAATGCATTAATTAAAGTATTACAAATTCACAAATATTGAACTCTGCATTTGAATTAGTTAAAAATAACTAATTTGATAATAAAAAGTCAGTCGCTGATTCAAATAGTAACATTTTCCTATTGAAATAGTTAATGGTAACTAATTATTATTTTTTTCCGGTGAAAATCAATTCTCTGTTATTTCCCGGTTTTCTAGATTGGTAGACAAAGTGTTAAATGTATTGGTAGAAACTTAGGGTGGTTACAAGTTTCAGTTTATCAATTTCCCTGACAATTTACTGCCATAAAAATTACTGTCCCTGACAAAATTCTTTTTATATGAAAAGTCTCTGTGGTTTACAATTATCCAAGTTAAGCGCATTTGAGTACGATTTTTATTTAGATCAACCGCGCTTTGACTCTCACTATATCTCGGTGTTTTTGACTATTAATTTTTTTAAAAGTTCGTTTAAAATCAGGAGAAACAAAAGTATAAATTAGAAAAAACTGATTTTTTTGTTATGAGACAAATTATTTTTATTTATAACAATTTTTATTTTATAATTATTTTTTTAATTTTATGCCCTGATTACGAAAATTATGAAGAAATTTGGCGACTAGGTCATCTTCATGCTGAAAACCATTAAGAATTAATTAAAATGAAACAAAAATAAAATTCAAAAGAAGCATTTTGTAATATTTTACATAATATAAAAGATAAACGCCAAAAATCATGATTTGATAGACTTTTTATGGTTTTTACCATGAAGATGGCCTAGTCGACAAATTTCTATGTTATTTTTGTAATCAGAGCATAAAAATACGTGGGTATACGTAGTTTTAATTAATTCTATGGGTTGGGTTATTCGGAACTGCACTGAATGAAATGCCTTCGATTATTCAGCAATAAACTTCTGGTTAAGGATTTTTGTTGTACTATATTGTCTTTTGAATTACTTCTCCTTTTTCTTAATTGTTTGATTAACTTCTAGACTAAACAGGCTAACTTAATCATTTTAAAGATAATACGCTTGAGTAAGCTTTTTAATATTACCATCTTACACGTTTTTTTCGAACCGTTTCAATTTTTCCATCAAGAAAATTAAATGATAGGGGAGACTGGGGCTAAACAGGACAAGTCAAATATTTCCGAAACTATGAAGATTTTCAAATAATGTGAATAACCTATGAAGGCACTATTTCGTGATGTATATGCTGCATGAGGTTTTAGGGACATGTCATGTTTCTTGTAAAAGTAGTTTCCGTCAATATGTGAAAAATGTCGTTTTTCATGGTAAAAGTAAAAAAATTTTTCTTATTTTTTTGAGTTTTTATCGTTATAATTAAAGTGCACATATTATATGGCAATTTTTTTATTAGCTGAAGTTGGACTGAGTTTAGTAGAAAAAAAGTTTATTGGTAACGTTAAGAAGAAAAAATATATTGCAGGTTAATTATTAGATGACGGTGTGGGGCTGAATCGGACGTCATGTTAAAATCAACCAAATATGCGAATACTATAATTTGTTTTATATTAATTAAATATTTTATATTGTATTCTTTGCATAGAACCACTTTATAAATAAATAAATAAATAATTTATTTTAAAACTCAAATTAGCAAGCGAGTTGCTGCAAACAGACAAGTCTGAAAACTACAATTCATTTTATATTGTATTAATTATCTATTTTACATTTTATATTATATTATTTACATAGAGCTACCTACAAATAAATAAACAAAGAATTGATTTGAATTTTCTACAAAAAAATCGAAAATTTGTGTCTCATTCTTCAATTAATTAGCCGTGTCCGATTCAGCCCCACCAATCTTCAGATTTTCGTTTTTGAGGTAGTCACCTACAAAGCAATATATCTCCAAAGCTACTGTATTTTTTAAAAATAGAACAAGTAAAATTTGTAGGTGAAGGAACGAACATCAAAACGGTATATTACTCTTTATCAAAAATTGAGCGGATGGGAAGAAGAACTCGCCGAGCGCG